TGAGCAGTGTCTCAGCTCGGGGGAGATACTGGCCACAGCCCGCTGCGATCCAGAAGAGCTCAAAGGGTCTTTACTGAGATCACCACATATAGGAACCGAGATAATTAACTTTCATCAGGTACTTTTCCACTTTGGCCCAGCTCGGACAATGGAATATTCCGGTACTTTCCATTGGTTATGCAAGCCCAGGACTTGCTAGATCTTGGGGTCCTGGTGTCCCCCTTTCTGTGGCCACAATCCATATGTTGTCAGGAGTGATCGATTACAGTTATTATCTTCAAACAGTAGGAGCCGTGGGGACCAGGCACACTATTGTGTTCTTGGTCCATTGCTCTCTACCTTTTCTTTCTTTCATGTTAGACCATTGTGTTACGTTCTGGTCCATTGTATTGTTATGTGACCCAGGCAGGGAGGACATCATGCCAAGTACCGGGAGGCCTAAGGTGGGGGGGAGATTGTACCACCACACATGGCAGTTGGCTTAAGCACCTAGAAATGTTTATGAGCATTTTAACTTACAGATGTAGTTGAGGTCTTACAGATACAACAAATAGTATGTGTGTTATTGTTATTCTAGACATAAGGCTGTGTTGATGGTATTTCAGGTTTTAAGTTTTGCTATATTCCTTTTTGGTGAGTTGACCCTTGCTGGTGCCTACCAAAGCTGCTCTATTACTCCCCCTCCTCAGCTGGACAGGGGAGAGAAAATACAAAGGCTCGTGGGTTGAGATAAGGACAGGGAGAGATCACTCAACAAATACCGTCACAGGTAAAACAGACTCGGCTTGGGGAAATTTAGTTTATTACCAATCAAATTAGAGTAGGGTAATGAGAAATAAAACCAAGTCTTAAAACACCTGCCCCCCACCCCTCCCTTCTTCCCAGACTCAACTTCACTCCTGATTTTCTCTAATTGCCCCCCTCCCCGAGCGGCACAGGGGGATGGGGAATGGGGGTTGTGGTCAGTTCATCACACATTGTCTCTTCTGCTCCTTCCTCAGGGGGAGGATTCCTCACACTCCCTGTTACAGCATGGGTTCTCTCCAAAGGGAGACAGTCCTCCAAGATTTTCTCCAATGTGGGTCCTTCCCACGGGCTGCAGTTCTTCACGAACTGCTCCAGCGTGGGTCCTTTCCACAGGAGAAAGTCCTTCAGGAACAGAATGCTCCAGCATGGGTTTCCCACAGGGTCACAAGTCCTGCCATCAAACCTGCTCCAGCATGGGCTCTTCTCTCCAGGGCTTCACAGGTCCTGCCAAAAGCCTGCTCCAGGGTGAGCTTCCCATGGAGTCACAGCCTCCTTCAGGCGCATCCACTTGCTCCAGCATGGGGTTCTCCATAGGCCGCAGGTGGACATCTCCATTGTTAACCTCCATGGGCTGCAAGGGGACAGACTGCCTCACCATGGTCTTTACCACGGGCTGTAAGGGAATCTCTGCTCTGGTGCCTGGAACACCTCCCCCTCCTTCTTCACTGACCTTGGTGTCTGCATAGGTTTTTTTCTCACATATTCTCACTCCTCTCCTCCAGCTGCTCTTCCGCAGCAGTTGGGGTTTTTTTCCCCTTCTTAAATATATTATCACAGAGGCGCTACCACTGTCGCTGATTGGCTCAGCCTTGGCCAACGGCGAGTCCGTCTTGGAGCCGGCTGGCATTGACTCTATGGGACATGGGGGAAGCTTCTATCAGCTTCTCACAGAAGCCGCCTCTGCAGCCCCCTACTACCAAAACCTTGCCATGCAAACCCAATACATCCTTGTGGAAGGAAGAAAAGAAAGGCATAAACTACTGGTGGGAAAAATGTAGTACTAAAATATTGGGATGTCTGAGTTCCACAATTTTAAAAAGTTTATATATGTTATACTTCATCTTTGTGTCATCACCCCCCCCCCACTTTTTTTTTTTTGGCAAAGATCATCCCAACCTAGAGGGTATTTGGTTTGCACTAGCCGTTGTTTTTCCTCCTTCCCTCCCTAACACCTTCTCAATTTTACCTGTAAAATGCTGGTTTGGAAATAGGAAGAAATCAGAAATCACTTGTGTCAGAAACCCCTTGGGGAGAAAACTTCCTTTTTTGCATTTATAGGCAGCTTTTCAGGCAACGTAGCAAGTTTTCTGCCCTCTCTCTTTAAGCTATGCTAAGTGAGAAGGCCTGAGTCAGTCCAAAAGTTCCTTTCTTCCTTTAATAATTTTTATACACACTTGGGGAAAGCATTTAAGAACCACGACCCCATATATGGTGATCCTTTCTTTAGTATTTTTATCATCTTCAGATTTTTGAGTTACATATTTTCTAACTTGGGAACTGCATTGAGACCACTGTGTCTTTAGCTGTCAATGGAGTTGTTATCCATAAATTTGTGTAATCCCTTTTAAGCTTGTCTGTAAGTGTTAGTCCTGTTTAGAAGTTTAGATAATATTCTTCACTTTTGCTAAGGAAAATTTACAGACTCTATATAAGGCTGTTAGAGCTGTTTGGAAAAAAAAAAAAAAAAAAGGAAGGGGGCTCACTCTCTTTTGGAACAAAGATTCTAACATATTTCCTTGCTGTAATGGGACAGGGAAGGGGAGGGGAAATATTCTGAAGGCTGGGTGTATAGAGTTCAGTTTCAGCAGCAATGTGCCTATCCTGTCACCTCAACAACTGTTCTCAAAAAACTTTACTGAAAAAGTTGTCCTTTGTCTCAACCTTCTTAGTCGATTTTTTTAAAAGAATACACTTCCTTAGATCAGTTCTCTTCACCTGAACTTCCCCATTCTAAGGCTAGTAATGTTTTCCAGAATTGCTTCTTCAAAGGGATATACAGCACTAAACACTAGATGCTATGAACAAATGAGATTAGTTGTATGATTAGTGCCTCAGTCTAAGCTCCAGCTATGCCGAAAAAGTTGGAACTTATTTTTTAATTAATTGCAATGCTGAGCGGGGAAGGGGGCAGAAAGACAGAAGATCAAAACATACAGATAGACAGTGAAGAGTATATAGCATTCTTATGAAGCACTGTGAAATTTAGAGTTTATATAATAAACATGTCAATTGTGGAACACTTAAATGGCCTGTAAGTGGAAAGCCAGATTTGACCATAACTGTTTAAAAACAAACCAAAAAGCCCTATGCTTAACACTAATCTCTTAGTCGGTTAAAACAGCTTTTTCCAACCAGTGGTTGTACCAGGAGTTTCTAGCATTTGATTTGTGCAGTAAATAGCTATGCTTTCATGGAAATACAAGCCACGATTGCATGCAATGTTTAGTCTATTTTCCTGCTACTAGTAATTTAAAGTATAACTTGCATAACAATGTAGGACCTACTTATATGCATATATGCAAATAAGGAAAAGGATAAACAATTATTTTTTTAGATTCTAACAACAAATCTTCCTTTTAACAGAGCTGTTTGATTTTTGTGAAAAGGCTTTTCACTTAGTTCATAAAACTTTTAATATTTTTTGTGGACATAATTACTAAAACAACAAAAGTTTACTTGATCATGAGATATTTTCCACAGGCAGTTCTGTTACAGCATTCAAAGTATTTAATTCCATGATAAATAACAAATTGTAGAAGAGCTTAACTTTCATGTGACTACCGGAAGTTTTAAATGAAATGGTCAGTAACTCTCTACTTTGTATTCCTATCAGATTCTCCTTCCCCTACTGCTGCAAGAACGCTGACGCTGGTTGCCAAGTCTGTGCAGAATTTAGCAAATCTGGTTGAATTTGGAGCTAAGGTGAATATAATTTTACACAGAACAGTCTAGAACGGCATTTCCAATACATTTCAATGTCCCTGTTTAATGCAGACAAAAATCTGTTGCTGTTTTCTTGTGCAAATCATGAAGTGTGACCTGGGTATCTTAATAAGCAAGGAGGCCTCATTCCTGCAGTTTCTTCTGTCCCCTTAAGTTGGAGCTCAACAGGGTATTGATTTAAACTAGAGCAGTAGAATAAAGTCTGGCTGAATTGCAGAGAGTTGTCAGTCATTTGAGAATGAGTCATCTAGAAACTTATGTGAATGATTTGGTACATACCATGAAGATTTTGAATCTGGTAGTATGAACAACATCAGTGACCTGTTAAAATAATTGATGAACCAATGACCGTACTAGTAGCTATTATAAAGAGTGATGCAACCATATTTTCATGCTATGAGAACAGATAAACTCAGACATTTGTTCCAAAGACAACAGTGGGACTATGTGGACTGTTTTTTTCTGTCTGTCAATAACCAAAAGGGTAGTAGCCATACTCTAGTATTCATAGAATATCTCAAGTTGGAAGGGACCCATAAGGATCATCAAGTCCAACTCCTTGCTCTTCGGAGGACTACCTAAAACTAAACCATATGACTAAGAGCGTTGTCCAGACGCTCCTGGAATCCTGACAGGCTTGGTGCTGTGACCACTTCTCTGGGGAGGCTGTTCCAGTGACTGACCACCCTCTCGGTGAAGAAACTTTTCCTGACGTCCAATCTGAACTTCCCCTGGCACAGGTTCATTCCATTTCCTCGTGTCCTATTGCTGGTCACCAGAGAGAGGAGATCAGCACCTCCTCCTCCTCCACTGCCCCCCTTGAGGAAGTTGTAGACTGTGATGAGGTCACCCCTCAGCCTTCTCCAAGCTGAACAAACCAAGTGACCTCAGCCACTCCTCTTAAGTCTTGCCCTTGAGGCCTTTCACCATCTTGGTCACCCTTCTCTGGACACACTCTAATAGTTTGATGTCCTTCTAATATATTGAGGCGCCCAAAACTGCACACAGTACTTGAGGTGGGGCTGCACCAGTGTAGAGTGGGACAATCTCCTCCCTCGACTGGCTAGCTATGCTGTGTTTGATGCACCCCAAGGCACAGTTGGCCCTTTTGGCTGCCAGGGCACACTGTTGACTCATATTCAACTTGCCATCAACCCAGATCCCCAGATCTCTTTCTGCAGGGCTGCTCTCCAGCCTCTCATCCCCCAATTTGTATATATAACCAGGTTTACCCCGTCCCAGGTGGAGAATCCTGTACTTGCTCTTGTTCAATATCATATGGTTGGTGATTGCCCAGCTCTCTAGTCTATCCAGATCTCTCTTTAAGGCCTCTCTACCCTTGAGAGAGTCTACAGCTCCTCCTAGATTTGTATCATCGGCAAACTTACTTAATGTACATTTGATTCCTGCGTCTGGATCATTTATAAAAACATTAAAGAGCACTGGCCCTAAAATTGAGCCCTGGGTAACCCCACTGGTGACTGGCTGCCAGCCTGATGTAACCCCGTTTACTATAACCCTTTGAGCCCAACCCATCAGCCAATTGCTCACCCAATGTATTATGGACTTGTCTAGCTGTGTGCTGTACATTTTATCCAGAAGAATACTGTGAGAGACAGTATCAAAGGCTTTGCTAAAATCTAAAAACACCACATCTTCTGGCTTCCCTTGGTTAGCTAGATGGGTATTGGAGTTGGAAAAGTGGGAGAAGTGAGGCAGGCAACCATCCCTCTACAAAGAAAATATCTATGTGATGGTAAAATGGGTAAATTTTCTTTAGGAATATCCATATCAAAAAGACAACTGAAAAATGCTAGAGTAGAAATCTGTGATTAGAAAGAATCTGTTCAAGAAGGATATATCATCTGCCTTAAGTAGATGATGGGAGCCTTTTTGTATTTCCATTGATTATTTGATGTCAAAATGGGGAGACATCTTTCAGTAATATTGGCATGTCTCTGTACAGAACCTTGAAATACATTCCACATCCATGTTCTTTTATATACTGTATGTAATAATTCACTTTCAAACTGAGACCAATTAGGACTAAACTTCCAGCCTGGACATAGAGTATTTTAATTCTGAAACAAATGAACAACTACCAACCTCTGGCTTCACCCCTACACGCACACACTTTTCCTCTACTTATTCCTTAGACTGTTTTTTCTGTTGGTACAGCATTTTGAAACACCCCTTTTATTTGTACTCATTTTCATATTGCTTGACATAATTTTGTAAATCGGTTTTACAAGTTGCACTAAAAAGCCTCAGCTTTTTATAAAGTTTCTATTGCATCACTAAAAAAATGCCAGCAACAATTAGTCTGTTCTGGTTCCCAAGTTGCAACATGGTTGAACAATAAAAATCTGTTGACTTAAGCATAATGAAAGAAAGCGACTTCAGGCTGCCATTATACAGCCATTTGTCTAATACTCACAACTTGGAATGTAAGCATTAACAAAAGAAGAAGGAGGGCACTTATGTCCTGATGTTACCTCTGAAAGTATTTTCTCCATTATATAGCTGCAATGAAAAAAGACAACCATCTTCAATATTTCAGAAATGTAAAATTTTATGTCACACTGCATATATAAAAAATTTCAGAATCCATCTGGAATATAAAAAAGTGTAATCTTTTGACTGGTTGTACACCAGTCATTATAAATTCACTTGAAAAAATAAAATCATTCCAGATGACACATTTGTGTTTTGTAGTGTCATTTGTCTCTGATTATAATGTGTTCACTTCAGGTATGACTATTAAATTGGTATTGATTTGTTCTAATAAATACTTTTAAAAATTACTAGGAGCCATATATGGAGGGGGTAAATCCATTCATCAAGAGCAACAAACATCGCATGATCATGTTCTTAGATGAACTTGGGGTAAGTGGTTTAAAAAAAATATTGGAAGTTGTATAGCAACACTGTAAATTAAAATTCTTTACAGTTCTTGTTAACTAGCTCAAAAATGCATCAGCTTCCACACAATTTTGAATGCTTGCTACTGCAAAATTTTTCTTACGTATGTTTAGGAACTGCAGATTGCTGGCTTGTTGCACAGAATTAAAACCAATCAAATGTCCTGTTAGAAATATTTTATTCATTTAGTACTGCTGTACACGAGATCTATTTGAGCTTCTCCCCAAGAATTAGGGCTTTTGACCAAAAATACCAGTCTTTTCAAAAAATATTTTAAAACAAAAAATTCTTATGTGTAATTTGTCATATGGTTTTGATCCGAGACTGAACATTTGAAGTCTTAAAAAATATTATGTTCAGTTTTAGTTATACATTACCAAATGTCTCACTGCATGAATTCTAGATATTGTAGTTTAAAAGAAAATAATAATTGCGGTTCACTTTGAAACTGTTACTGTTTTGTGTATGATCGCTATAACAAGAGTTAGGTGATCATGTATGTAAATATGTATATGTTTAAACCAAGAATTTGCTTTAAATATGAAGATGAAAGAAATGTGCCTAGCTTACTAAATTGATCCATTTAAAGTGACCTAGAAGACATTTCAGACTATTTTGATAATCTAGAAGAATGAGTGTTTTGAAGTGTGTCATTCAGGTGGATTGCCATATGTCACCTTTTTCTGCTTAAACAGCAACTTCTGCATATTATGATGTACTGTTTTTTTTCTTCAAATGGCAGATTATGCATGAGGACTCAGAAAACTGTTGGTTTTTAAAATAACTGATTAATCTACTGGTTTAATTACATTATTTTATTGGTGGATTTACTGACTTGATAGTTTGGGGTATTTTTTGGTGTCCATGTTTGCTGCTGCTATTGTCTGATTTAAATTTAAAAAACAAAAAAAACCTAATGGATGAATCCCCCTCATTTGGAGAGAGGACTTAATATGAATCTCTTTTCTCAGTATCTTTCTGGCCAGCTCAGAGGTATTGTAGCAACAACAAACCTTTTAGTAGAACCCTCCTAGTAGGAATAGGACTTGCTGTATATTAATTTAGTAATCTCTCCATGTGAAATATGTAAACATAATTAAAATGTCTGCATAAAATAGATGCTTGTGGAGAGGAAGAAATATATAATTTGTATTAAATATCATGGACAGAATCACAGTATCTACAGAGTTGGAAGGGACCTCTAGAGATCATCTAGTCCAATTCCCCTGCTAAAGCAGGATTGCCTAGAGCACATTACTCAGGACTGCATCCAGGCGGGTCTTGAAAATCTCCAGAGAAGGGGACTCCACAACCTCCCTGGGCAGCCTGTTCCAGTGCTCTGTCACCCTAACGGTAAAGAAGTTTTTCCGTGTATTTGAACGGAACTTCCTATGTTCCAACTTGTGCCCATTGCCCCTCGTCCTGTCACTGGGAACCACTGAAGAGAGTCTGGCTCCATCCTCCTTCAACCCACCCTTTAGATATTTGTAAGCAATAATAAGGTCTCCCCTCAGCCTTCTCTTCTCCAGGCTATAGAGTCCCAGCTCTCTCAGCCTTTCCTCATAAGGGAGATGCTCCAATCCCTCAATCATCTTGGTGGCCCTTCGCTGGACTCTCTCCAGCAGTTCCCTGTCCCTCTTGAACGGGGGAGCCCAAAACTGGACACAGTATTCCAGTTGTG